AGGTTGGTGACAAAACAGACTATTTTTAACGCAGCTTTTCCAGCCCCTTTCCCATGCGGGGTGAGCAGAGTGGAAAGCTGTCAAAATGCTCTCCTGTTCCTGTCCCAAGAGTGAAACGACTGAGACAAACTCCACTGCCTATGTGCTGATCTGAAGCTAGGGACTTCCAGATCTCACAACCCTGTCCCTGTCACCTCTCAAAATCACTGCAGGACTTGTGTTGTGTGTGTATGTGAGGGTTGAATTCCTCTAGGTACACACCTTGTGCAGGACAACTTCTTTAAAGTAGAAATGTTGTTGCACATCAGCAGACAGTGACAAGGAAGCCTCAAAGACTGGGAGCTCCCTACTGCTGCAGCCATGCCGTCTCACATGAATATCTTCCACCTGAATCACCACGGAGGACCAGTTTTGGATTGTGCTTTATCTGGTTCTGACCTTACCATCATGGTTGACCCTGCCAGGAGTTGAGAATTCCTGAGAGCATCACTCTTGAGATCAACAGAACACTTAAGCCTCTCCACCACACACAGTCCATGGAAATAAAAAGATGGGAAATAAATATTCAGGGGTATGTGATGTTTTGAAATGACAGGAAAGAAGGAAAATGTGGTGGGATAGCTTTGCTCGTATGAGACAGAATAAGTATGATAACAAGAAATGGTCTTGGATTGGAAGACAGAGAAGCCATGTGGATGAAGGTAAGAAATAGCAAAGGAAGAAGGCACAAGTAGGAATAATTGATATGTCCTTAACAGTAGTCATATGGTAGGAAAGAGAAGAAATCAAGAGTAATGTGGGCATGGATAAAAGACAAAATAATAATAATGGATGACTTTAGTCTTCAGGTAGATTGATAAAGTCAGATTGGCTGAAGTAGCCACAAGGAAAAAGCCATGGAAGAATTTGAGAAAGTTTCCTAGAACAATATATTATGATCCAATCAAGAATCAGGCTATCTGGAGCTGGTGTTGTGTAATGAGACAGGTTTAATAAATTATCTCAAAGTAAAAGATATCATAGGAAACTGACCATAACATGATAGAATTTATTATTCAGTCTGAAAGGGAGAAATGTGGGTTGGAAAATAACATGATAAGTAAAGCTATTTGCAAAGGAATTAGGACTGGGACAGCTAAAGTGGACAGGGAAAGGAGCTTATGATCAAACTCAGTTGACGAACATTGGCAGATGCTTAAGGAAATATTAATTGCTGGGGAATCTCAGCAGATCTGACAGCATCTGTGGGAAGAAACCAAAGTTAACATTTCAAGTCAGCAACTCTTCATCAAAACATTCTGCTGAGTTTCTTCAGCAATTTCTGTTTTGATTCAGATCTTCAGCATCCGTGGTTCTTTGTATTATTGAAGGAAATATTTCCTGGTTCACTGCAAAGATGTATCCCTGTGAGGAAGAAGGATTTTAGGAAGAAGTTATGTCAATCATTATTAACCAGGGAAGTTAAAGATAGCATCAAATTGAAAGAAAAAAAAACATACAAACTGGCAATGCTTAGTGATAAGTCAGAGGTTTTGGCAAATTTTAAAAATCAAAAAATAATAAAGAGGGAGAAAATAAACTTTGAGGGTAAACATGTGAGTAAAGTTGATAGATAAAAGAGCTTCTTCAAATGTATGAAAAGGAAGAGAGAAACCAAAGTGAGCACAGGTTCCTTACAGAACAAAGCTGGGAAATACGAAGGGAGAACCAGAACTGGAAGAGGAGTTGAATGAATACTTTGTATCAGTCTTCAAAGTAAAAGTCACAAACAACATTTCAAAAATACTAAACAATTATTGGGCAAAAGGAGGAGATGAAATGAATGCTACAACTAACACTACAGAAAAAAGGTGCTGGGGAAACTAATAGGACTAGAGACCAATAAGTCACTTGGAACCCAATGAGATACATGCTGGAATATTAAAAGCAGTCACATAGATAGTGGATACACTGGTTAATCATACAGGAATCCTTAAATTATGGATAAAACCCCAGTGGATTGGAAAAATACCTGTGAGACACCTTTATTTAAAAAGGGAAGGGGTAAAAAAACAAAACCATAGTTTGGTTTAACATCTGTAATTGGGAAAATGTAAGATCTATCACATAAGATGTAATGGCAGAGCATTTAAAAATACATTATATGATCAAGCAGAGTTACTATGGCTTCACGAAGGGTAAACCATGCCTGACAAATGTATTAGAAGTATTTGAAGAGATAACAAGCAAACAGGAAAAGGGGAAGAAGTGACTGTAATACATTTGAACTTTCAGAAGGAGTTTGATTAAGGTATCACACGTTAGGCTAATTAATAATATAAGAGCACATGATGTTGGAGATAGTATATTAGCATGGATAGAGGAATGGCTAACTAATAGGGATTTATAAAGGAATGGCTAACTGGAAATAAGAGAGGCATTTTCAGGACAGCAACCTGTAACTAGCAGAGTGCCACAGGGATCAGTGCTGTGGCCACAATTAATTAGAACATAAAATAATGTCTTGGATGAAGTAAGTGAATGTACTCTAGCCAAATTTATGGATGAGACAAAAATAGGTGGGAAGGCAAGTAGTGAGGATGACACAAAGATTCTGTAGAGGGATATGGAGAGGTTAAGTGAGTGGGCAAACACCAGGCAGATGAAATATAATGTGGGAAATCTGAGGTTATGTATTTTGGCAGGAAGAATAGAGGAGCTGACTATTATTCGAATTGCAAAAGACTTCAAAAATCTAATTAGGGATTTGGGAATCCTTACACATAAATCACAAAAAAAATCTAGCATCCAAATTCAGCAGGTATAAAGGAAAGCAAATGGAATGCTGTCTTTTATTTCGAAGGGCATGAAGTATAAAACATATGGACATCTTGCTAAAACTATGCAAGGTACTAGTCAGGCTACAGCTGAAATACTGAGAACAGTCTTGGTCCCGTTATCTAAGAAAAGATATATTGGCGTTGTGACAGTTGTAGAAGGTTCACCACGGGGATCCTGGATGTTGGGGTGTTGTATCATGAGGAGAGGTTGAGTAGTTTGTGCCTGTATTCACTGGAGTTTAGAAAAAAAAAAGTCAACCTTACTGAAACATACAAGATTCTTAAGGAACTTGACGGGGTAGATGCAGAAAATTTATTTCCCCTTGTAGGAGAATCTAGGACCAAAGGTTGCAATCTTAGAATAAGAGATGTCCCACTTAAAATAGAAATGAAGAGAAATTTCTTCTCTCAGAAGGTAGTGAATCTGTGAAACTCTTTATCCCAGAGAGCTGTAGGGACTGGGGTGCATCAAGTATATTCAAGAGTGAAGTGAATAGATTTTAATCAGTAAAGGAATCAGGGTTTTGAGGAGAGACAGAAAATGTTCAGAATGAGTTGAGAATGATCGGATCATGATCTTATTGAATGGTGGAACTCGATGGGTTGAATGGCCTACAAAAACCTTTATAATATTAAATACTCATTGTTTGTTCACTACTTTCTGCATGGAAGGAGACTTTGAAAATCTTCGCTGCAACTTCTCCTAATAAGAGACTGGCAATTTGCCTGTGACAGTACCATTGAAAACAATGGCTATTGCTAGTACAACACTTGGGGCTTCACCAAGTTGAATCGGGGTGAGAAGGTAGCAGTGTCCTCACCTGAGACTCTCTCCCATCCAATCAAAGACCGCACCCCTACCTCTTATAGGGAGGTTCAATTGTACCCGACGTTTCCCCTGAAGAGGGAATCTAAAACTAAGAGGCATGTTTTCAAATAAGGAGCCATCCACGTAAGACAGAGATAAGGATGAATTTCACTTCTCTGAGGATTGTGAATTTGTGGAATTCTCAATCCCAGACAACTGTGCTGGTTGAGTCATGTTAGATACAATAAACATGAATAGATTACTGAACAGCAGTAAAGTCAAGGATTATTAGAACAGTCAGAAAAATCAAATCAAGAAAAGGTCAGATTAACCATGAACTTAAAAAATGGTGAAGCATTCTCAAGGTATCAATGGCCTATTCCTACTTTTTTCCCTATGTTCATGACACTAACTTCCTTATGACCATCATTGACCAGAAGCTTTACTGGGCCAATTATATAAACACCGAGGCTAGGAATTCCGGGGTGAGTAACTTGTTTCTTTACTCCTCAAAGCCTGCCAGGTACAAGAGTTAAGTGAGGTATTTGATGGGATACCCTCTACTTGCCTGAATATATATAGCTCCAACAATTCTCAAAGAACTCGACACCATTCAGGACAGCAGTCCATTTGATGATCCTATCCACCGATGTAAAGTGCTCTACACCACATGTACATTGACAACAGTGTGCACCATCTACAACATGCACTGCAGCAACTTAAAAAGGCTCCTCCATCAACACCAGCACCTAAAAGAACAACAGAAACAAAGATATGCTACCACCTGCCCATTCCCCTGACCGTGCCATATCATTCTTATTTGAAATATCTTGCCATTCTTTCACTGTTGGGCGACCAATTGTGAATGAACATTAGATGGACTGCAGTGGTTCAAGAAGGCAGCTTGTTATCCAGAGCAAATAGCTGCAATGGCAAAACTAAAATACTGGCACTACCAACAAGCCACACGTCCCATGAATAAATAAGAGGATAGCCGATAAGTTCAGGGTACTATTTGAGAATATAATAAAAGCAGTGCGGATACTGGAAGATCTGAAACAAGCAGAATAACACATTGTTGGAGAAACTCAGCAGGGCTGGCAGATCTATGGAGAGAGAGAAACGAGTTAACGTTTTGAGTCCAGTGATCCTTCTACAGAAACTGCCAGACCTGCGACTTTCTCCAGCGATTTCTGCTCTCGTTTGCTTATGGAATAGAAACAGTGGCTTAGAAACTGCCTTTATGCATGTTTTTTTTTAAAGGAAAAGGAGCTGAGGTACAGAAGCGAGCTGTAGCTGGTTGCAGTGCAGAGAATGGGATTGGGTTGGAAAGACTGAGCCTGTGTCGCTGACGGAGCTCGCGCGAGCGGAAGTGGGAGCGCGAGGCGGATCCGGGCCAGGTTCCAAAGCCGCTCGGCCCAACCGTCCGAGACTAGCAGCGCAGACACTAACCGCCGGCTTCTCAACACGCACCAGCACCACAGTGCCTGAATACAAATTCTTCCAATCGGGGTTAATCCACCGGCCCCCCGGAGGAAAGGGGGGAAGGTTCCGGAAGAACACGGAACAGCCTCCACTTGCTGGTTTGATTGGATGGCTCCGACGTCAATTTGGGGCTGGTGTGATTCGGAAGCAACGTTGACAATTTTTTTCTGTGAATGTGTGATCGTTTCATCGGGGAGCTCACCGAATTTTTCACATTTACAGTGAGAGGTAAAGGACCATTGTGTTTTAGGATGGCGAGAGGTTACAGTGGTGAAATGTGCTGACAAGCTTGAGCAAATAATTTAGTATCAGTTCCATTATATATTTCTAATTCGGACTGCTGCACTCTTGCCAACCTAAAAATAAGCGAGAAAGAACTTGCATGTAAGTATCATGCTGTATTGCATCAAACTTTTCAAAGCATTTTGCACAATGCATTATTTGAAGTGTAAACACTGGGGGTGCCACGTTTGGTCCAAAATATGCTTGAAAGTCTGACCAGGTCATTCTCAATGATCTTCGCACTGTTTCTTTGCTGAAAGTGTTAGAAATGACCAGATGCCAGAAAGGGTAAGAAGACACTTGTAAATGTCGTCCATGGACCCCCTAACAGTAATTATAGGGTGGAACAGAGGATAAATCAGGAGATAATGAGGGCGTGTAACAAAGGCAGTGAGTGCATTCATCATGGGTGACTTTAATTTTCATGTTGATTGGGATAGTCAGATTGGAGGAGGAAGATGAAATAACTTTACAGAGGCTGGTATCCCATTACTAAGCCACCCTTAATTTACACACTAACACACTAACAATCCTTGACTTTAGTACTGCCTTTCAGAGTATATCTCAGAAACTTTTTTTTGTATCTCTAAGCCAGGGCTCCCTGATGGGACCAGGTTAACAGCACCAATCAGGGAACTCATATTCGATTAGGTTCACCTGGCTGACCTCATTGCAATCACTATAGAAGACATATGGTAGAATTCATAGAGTGTATTTGGGATACATTACAAGAACAATATGTTGTGGATCCAACTAAGGATCAGGTTATTCTACTGTCACTATATCCCATACCTCTCTGAGTCAGAGGACACAGGCCGGTCCTTTTTCTTTGAGAGCCTCCTGGGGCAATTTAGCATCCTTTCGATTCAGCGTCTGGCACAGGTGGATTCTAATGCACGGAAGCTTGCCTCTTGCATCAGGAGTGCATCAGTAGACTTTCACTGTTCTGGCAGCAAAGGTGTTGAGGTGGCTACTTCTGTCATATTAATCTCTGATTCAGATGACAAAACAATGTTTTGGTGGAGAGGTGAATCCATGGGCTCTACAGCAATTCCAAAGGTTCCCAGAGGCACAGCACATTTTGTGCTCACAATGTCTGAGAATTCACGGCATTCTTTTGGTCCGCATGCTTATTTAGGACTGTTGCAGTTACCCGAACTTTATATATCACTGGTCTTGACCTCACATTGACCACACCTCTTACCCATTCGGGACCATTTCTGTGACTCTTATACCAAACTTCATCCCTTTATCAAACTGTCCCTCTCACTTGGTGGAGTCTTGGGTCTGGCATTAGAGTTTCTGATGCCATTTCACACTGCTCGCCCCACTCCCCCCTGCTTCCAAGTTCAGGCAGATCAGACTTAATCTGGTATGGAGTCTTTTACCCATTAGGCACACTGCCGATGCTCTCCTGTAGTTGCATGTGGAGTGGTCCTATAATCAACCAAAAACTGGAACAGCTTGGGATCGAGGCAGGCCATATAGATTGTTTCTTCAATCTAGCCTTCAGTGTTTGGACCACTCTTTCTGCCAGACAATTAGATAATGGTCAGTATGGAGCTATCCTTATATGTTGAATCCCATTCGACTTCAAAACTGGTAAACGATGGCCTGTGATCTGTGACCGACACTTACGGGACTCTGTGTGGTGCAAAAGATGTGCTCAGTTTTTCTATCGTCGTCCCAGTATTAGAGGATGATAACTGTTGTATTACTTCTTTGAAAGCTAGGGGCTTCTCTGTCAGACTATTTCTAAGGCAGACCCTTTTTTAGGGTTTGATGCAAAGATACCAGCCCAAAAAATGACCTAAGCTCCTGGACAGATGTGAGAACCAGGGCACCTTTAATCATCCTCACTTCATCTTCCAGGAACACAGTCTTGTTGACTCTATAGCCCAACTAGGTCACTTGGCGGGACTGGAACACACATTTTACCCTTCTTAGGCATATGCCTGCCTTGGAAAAACTCTTTAGGACTATATCCAAGTTCTCTAAATGTCCCTTATTAGTTTTCTCTGTTATCAGGAAATCATCTAGGTAAATGGCAACCTGAGGTAGACCTTACAAAATGTTCTCCATCCTCTGCTGAAAAATTGAACAGGCTGACGATAGCCCAAATGGCAGTCTCGTATGTTGGTGCAAGAGCTTATTGATATTAATTGTAGCATACTTCTGGTAATCCTGGTCCAAATGCTATTGCAACTAAGTGTGGCTCATGTCCAGCTTTGTGAAGGACAACCCTCCTGTCAATGTTTTGTGTAAGCCCTCGATCTGAGGGTTTGGGTATTTATACAGCTGCGAAAATGGTTTACTGTTTATTTAAAAATTTCCACAAAGGCAAACTGACCAATTGGGCTTCAAAATCAGTACAACCGATGCTAACTCTTTCACAAATTGGACTGGTTTGATGATCCCTTGACTTTCCAGGCTTCGACTTTTGCCAATACAGAGTCAGGCACCAGAGTGTCAGTACCCCTGACACTCAACCTTTTTATGTTAGTGAGGTCTCCCTGACTGGACTAGATTAACAGCCCCAATTGGGGAACTCATATTCTCTGAAGTGCAGCTGGCAGACCTCGTTACAATCACTACAGAAGACATGCGGAGGAATTTGTAGAGTGTATTCGGGATAGTTTCCAAGAACAATATGTTGTGAATCCAACCATGGATCAGGTTATTTTGGATCTGGTGATGTGTAATGGTTTAATAAATGATGTCAGACTAAAATATTCCCTAGCAAACAGTGACTGTAATATGATAGAATTTAGCATTTGTTTTGAGATGGAATAACTTGGATTGGAAACAACAGCGCTAAGCCTAAATGAGGTTAATTACAAAGAAATGAGAGCAGAGCTGGGTGGCGTGGATTGGTAAAGGAGTTTAGCAGCAAAAATGGTTAAGGAACAGTGGTAGATGTTTAAAAAGTAGTTAATGACTCACATCAAATATATATTCAATTGAGGAAGAATTATTCCAGGAAAAGAATGAGCCATGGTTAAGTGGGGAAGTTAAGGGTAGCAACAAATTCAAAGCAAAAACATACAATCAAAGATTAGTGGTAAGGCGAAGTATTGCGAAAATTTAAAACGAAACAACAGAAGATAACCAAAAATAATAAAGAAGGAGAAAATAAACATTGAGGGTAAACTTGGAACTACCATCAAGGCAGATGGCAAGAACTGTTTTAAATTTATTAAAAGGAAGAGAGAAGTCAAAGTGAACCTAGGCCACTTGGAGAATGAGGCTGGGGAAATAATAACAGGGAACCAGGAAATGGCAGAGGAGTTGAACAAATACTTTGCATCAATCTTCACACTAAAAGACATTAGTAGCATTTTGAGATCACTAAATAATCAAGGAGCAAAAGGAGAAGAAGAAATAAATACAATACCCATCATGAGAAAGAAAGTACTAGGAAAACCAATGCAGTTAAGACCAGTAAGTCCCCTGGACTTGATGGATGCATCTTAATATATTAAACAAAGTAGCTCCACAGATAGTAGATTCATGAAAAGTAATCTTCCAGGAATCCCTAGATTCTGAAAAAGGCTTGGAGGATTGGAAAACTGCCAATTTATTTAAAAAGGGAAGGAGACAAAAACGGGTAACTATAGGCCAATTAGCTTAATGTTAATGTCCGTTATTAGGAAAATGTATGAGTCTACAAGTAGTTCTCCTGTTACATGATAGTTGTGTTCTTGTGTGACCTTGCACTGTAGAAAATTGCGATATAGAAAATCGCGTTATAGAGAAATCACTATACCTGTACAGCAGAAAGTTTGCGTTATCCAAACGGCATCCACTATTCATCAATCACTTTACAGCCAATTCGCATTAATGAAGCACACGTTATAGCAGAACTTATAAAATATGTAATGGCAGAATATTTAGGAATACATAATCTGATCAAGCAGAGTTAGGAGGGCTTCATGAAGGGTTTCATTCCTGATAAATGTCCTGGGATTCTTTGATGAGGTAACAAGCAGGATAGAAAGAGGGGAAGCAATGGATCTAATAGATTTGGATTTTCAGAAGGCATTTAGTAAGATCATGGTTGATTTTATAATCCTCAGCTCCACTTTCCTGCATATTCCCTATAAACCTCGATTCGCTTACAGATGAAAAGTGTCTATCCCAGCTTCGATAACCCTCTATTGTAAAGAATTCTAGAGAATCACTACCTCTGAGAGAAGAAACTTCACCTCTGGCTTAAATGTGCAGACCTTATTCTGAGATTATGTTCTGTGTTCCAACACTCTCCCAGAAGGGGCACCAACCTTACTGCATCTACCCTGTCAAGTCTCCAAAGAATCTTTGTTTTAATAAAATCGCCTCTCATTCTTCAGGCTCAACCTATTCAGTCTGTTCTCATAAGAAGGTACCAGAGCTGTTAACGATTTTGTGAACCTTCTATGAACTGCCTTCAATGCTCGTATGTGTTTCCTTAGTTAAGGGGCCCGAAAGTATTCACAATATTCCTGCTGTGGTCTGACTAGTGCCCTATATGATTTTAGCAAAAACCTCCTTACTTTTATGCCACATTCCCTTTGAAATAAAGGCCAACATTCCATTTGTCTTCCCTATTATCCGCTGAACTTGGATTCTAGCTTTTTGTGATGCTTGCGTGAGAACTCGTAAATCCCTCTGTTTTGTAGCTTTCTGAAGTCTTTCATCCATTTAACTGATAGGTGGCTCCTCTATTCTTACTGCCAAACTGTAAAACTTCACATTTTCCAACACAATATTCCACCAAGCAAGTTTTTGCCCACTTGCTTAACCTATCTCTATCTGTCTGCAGACTCTTTGTCCAATCCTCAGTATTTGCCTTCCCATCTATTTTTGTGTCCTCCACAAACTTGGCAATAGTACATTCACATACCTCATACAAGGCATTAAGATGTAGTAATTAATTGTGGCCACAGCACTGATCCCTGTGGCACTCG